TTAATGTTTTTAACATATAAAGTACATTTATTTTCTATTTAACACTTTTTTTAATAAAAATTGAATACTGTTATAAATTATTTCAATATTTTTCTATGAATTAGAATCCATTGACATTAAATATAAATCTAAAAATTATATAAAATCTTATATTTTTAATAATTTTTTATATAATACAAATTTAATTAACTCTATCGTTGAATTATATAATATTATATTTAAAATTCTATATATCAAATTTCATATAATTATAAAATTATTTAATACTTTTAAGTATACTATGATATTTAAAATATATATAAATATATTTTTTTAAAATATAAAAAAAAGTTAAAATCATGTAAAATTTAATATACACGATCTTAAGTATAATTTTATATATTTTAACAGTTTGATAAATAAAATTTAGTCTAACTTTTTACAATCAACAAATCTTATCTCTTTTTCTATTAAACGTTCTAATATTTTATTAAAATTAAATATATTTTTAATGTATTAGAAATATAGAAATATTAAAGTTTTCTTTATTGATTAAATATGAAGTATTAATAAGAAGAAAATGTAAGAAATTTAAAATTTAGACGATTTGAGAAAAAATATATCATTATTCTTTGCAAAATATGGATATTCAAGCCAACAAAAACCATCAATTATTAATTGCCAAATTTAAAAGGTTATCTGCATTTGTTTTTTCTAATGAAAAAGAATCATAAAAGAGTACTCCGCGTTACCAAAACCTGGAGATATCATAAAAGGAAGAAAAATATAAGAACAAGTGATATAATGTAACAAGTAATTTAAAAAAAAAAAAAACGTGTTGATAAATGTGTAATATATAAATATGTACTATATAGGCACTCATAGAAATAGATGAAAAAGGTATATGTTTTTATATTAAAAAAAGGTACAAATTCTTAATAAAATAAACATTTTTCTATAAAATTATCTAAATGAAAATATAAAACATTAAGACTATAGGATTAAAGTTTCTATGCTGGACTTTTTGGGCACATTACAAACAGGACAAACTTGGAGAAAAGACTCACAAGTTTTACACGAACAAAGGTGCCTGCAAGGAAGAAACATAAAACACGATTTCTGAGAATTACAACATTTGCAATTCATTGTCCTTTTCCTAATTTGTTCAACCTCTACTGCCCCACCAGGACACACTCTGTTTTCCCCTGTTCCTTCTTCCTTTGCCGTGATTCCCATGTTGTCATCGCAACACGACTCTGCATCTTCTGTTGTCACCCCATACACTGCTCTCTCTTTCATCTGTTCTAAGCTATTATGAAGAGACATCACCATAGCCTCGTTTTCCTGAGCCACCCTTCGCCATGATTGGTTCTCTACCTCCAACTTCCTCAAAAATTCATTCAATTCAGACGTTTTCTTTGTTGCTTGCGCTATTTCTTCATCTTTCTGCCTCATTAAATAACGAGCGTTCAATTCCACCTTCCTCAATAACTCTTCCACCTGCTGTTTTCTTTGTTCCTCCAACAAAATTCTCAACTTTTCATTCTGCACAATCAGAAAACAAAAACTGGTTTCATTAACAAAAGATGCAAAGTGATATTTTTGTGGAGAAATATAATAAAGTAAAGATGATCAATTAATTGTGAAACCAACCTGTGATCTGATATAGTGATCAATCTCCCTCTGTTCATCAAAGTCAACAGAGAAGCCTTGAGGATATGAGGCTAAAGTTTGAGGGTTGTAAGTATAGTTATTGAAGGGGTTCACGTTCTGCTGGCCATTCGAATTAGGGAAAGACGGATCAACAAGAGACATGTTTGGATTCATCTGCCTGGCATGGTGTAGATGTTGATGATGCTTCGGACTATACACTTGAGAATTCAAACATGACTGAATATTGTTTATCATTAAATTCTTTGATCCACTAAATGGGAAACGGGAGTTGTTGGGATACAACTGTGCTTCGATGGCCATATCCAGATATCCAGATCAAAAAAATGAATAAGCAACCGAACCTATTTGCTTCGCTTGCACAATGTTTAAAATGATAAGAGGAGTGGAGTGGATGGAGCGATTTGGAGGAAGAGGCATAAGAGTTGTCTGTGTGTGTGGCAGTGGAAGGACATTTATATATATATATATATATATATATATATATGAATATAAAGTGAAAGCATTAAAAAAGATGTGGAAATAAATGAATGGATAGATTTTGAATGAATGGAAATAGTAACTGAAAAAGAAACAAAAGGGAGCCTAGGATACTGCATGCTTTCTCTCTCATCTTTTATAACTTTCTTCCTCTTTTTTCTCAATTTATCGTCTAAGCATTAAAGAAAGAAGAGTGTGGGACGCGGTAAGCAACGACGCACCACATGCAGATTTTGTGACTGAACTATCGGGTCAGAGGCGTTTGTTTGGATTTGAATATAAGAATTGAAGTGAGAGAAACTGACATAGAAAAACATGTGAAGGTGAAAAAGTCAGTTTCCATTTAAGAGTGAAAATCAAACTGTCAGATTTTTCAGCAGTTTCATCCTTTGTAAAGTAAAGGAAAGGATTTACCGGCCAAAACTGAACCCTCACCTTCTTATCTTTTTTTGTCGTTTTTCTATATTTCTAACATTTTCTTTTACCATTCCAATTAATTATATTGACTAATATTTTTAGTTTTTAAAAAATTTTATTTAATTTTGTATACTAATAAATATTATTATCTTTAAATACTTAATAAATAATATTTTAGCATTTATATTTTATGAATTAAATATTTAATGTGTATAATTAAAATTTATAATAATTTATGAAAATAAATATTTAAAAATATATAAATTATATTTATATTTAAAATAAATAATTTATATTATTACATAAAATTATTTTTAATTATTAATAATTTATTTTAAAATATTAAAATTTAATTCATAAATAAATATGATAAATAGAGAATTGAATTAGATAAAAATTAAAAGAGTTCTTAAAAATGCTTCAATTAAATAATAGTCTATGAGAATATTCTGATGTAAGATAGTTATTCATGTTTAATATATAAATAGATGTTGAATGTTGTTTTAAATCATAAATAAATGTAATAAATAATAATTTGAATTAATTTTTTAATAAAATAATTTGAATTAAATAAGATGTTAAAAAACCTCTATAAATATTTTAATAAAAAATTCTTAAAAATATTTTTATGCAAAATAACTATTTATGTTTAATATATAGAATTTTGTATATTCATTGGAATTAAGAAACAAGTTAAGAATAGGTTGATAAAATTATTTCAATAATTAATTATTTTTCTTTAATCACTTCGAGAAAATCTTAAACATAAGTCAATTTGAGATAAAAGAAATAGAATATTATTGGGCTTTAGAATTAGAAGTTACCAATCCCGGTTTTGCTAAGTTTATTAAGAATTGAACAAAATATTATATTATATTAAATAATGAGATAACACTTATATAGCTATTTTTTATTATAGTATAAATTATATGTATAAAATGTATAACAAATCATATATGATAACTATGATATTAGTTCTGGTGTAAAAAAAACTATGATTTAATTCTTCAAAAAAATAAACTATGATATTAGATGTAAATGATATTTTCTGTATAATATAGGATGACAGTTTTTATATATATTACCAAATTGTTTTAGACAAAATCTTATAAAAATAGAAGTACATTAATTAATAAATGTGTGAACTTCTTAATTGACATGATTGTATTAGTCAATAATCTCTTTTCTAAAAATATTAATAAAATTTTAATGTGCAATAATTAATGATAGTCACAGGACTAATCTTTCTCAAAATATAGAGATTATGTAAGTAAGAATATTTCTTTCCATATGAATTTTGCTGGAGAATAACAGATACAAATTTCCAGATATATTTATGTTCACAACAACACAACATCATGATATATCTAGTAAAAGGAAAAAATCCAAATGATTTTCAAACAGAGATCAGAAAACAAATATTGGTCAACATATTTAAATGCCAGAAAAAAAAATAACAAAGTCAATTATAACTAAATATTAAAACTATCAGGTATCAATAATTAAAAATAAATTGAATAACTCAAAAGAAAATTCAGTAAAAAAAAAAAAAAACTCAAGAAAAATGTAACTCTTAACAAACTACAAAGAATTAGCTGAAACAATTGAAGGTGTTTTATTTGTATGATAAATTTTAGATCGTTCAACACCGTTGTTAATAAATACAGATAAGTTAATTATATTTTTTAATTCATGAATAAAACAAGTTTTTATCTTCCTATATTATTATTTTAATTTAAGTTTAATTGTTTTTATTAGTTGATAATTGAATAATTTTATATAGTTAATTAATCAAATAATTTTTTAGTATTTTTTTCTTAATTGCATTTTGTGTTATTTGTATTTCATGATATCATGAATTTTGTCACCACACTTTTCAAACAAGATATTTTGTTATCACACATTTAAAATTTTGTATATTTTATCACTTTACAAGTTGATTGTTTAACATTATTTATTAATCATTAAATGTTGATGTATCACATTGATCATCTTATTGACACATTATGTAATGTCATCATCCATATATTATATTGACAATTAGAGTTAATAATAAACATGATATGTTAGTGATGAACAAATCATGCACATCAATAATAACTAGCGATATATAATAATCAATTAATTAAGTGATAAAATATGTAAAATTTTAAAAATTTGACAACAAAATATACAATTTTAAAAGTTGGATGGGGAAAGTTTTTCAAATTAAAAAATTTGAATAACAAAATGTACAACTAAGCCATTTTTTATAACCATATTTTTGTATTATTTATAATCATATTATTTGTATGAAATATTTATCATTGATGATTTATTTTTTGTCAAAAATCTAAATTAATAACATTTAATTTTTAATACAATTATTATAAAGGTCAATAATATAATCATACATAAGAATTAAATCTCAATTCTTTAATAAATTATTTTCTAAACTTTTAATAAATATAAACCCTAAACTTTTAATAAATTATACTTTAAATGATACATTATTTTCTTGAGAAATTTGGTTCATGAATTTTAATCATGAAATATGGTGCATTCAACAAAAGTATATGTTTAAAATTTTTAAATATTCAATATAGGAGTTAGTAAAAGATATATGAAGGCTTGGGCTTAATTTTTATGGTCATAATTTTTTTCTTATTAATAAAAAAAAACTAAACTCAAAATAGCATTATTTTTAAGACACGGGAATAAAACTATATAATTTTATAATATAAAAAAATTATAAATTTTTACTTATAATTTTTATTTATCATAATAAAAAGATAGAAATGTAACAAGTGAGATTTTTTTTTTTTGAAAAATAAAAATTATGGTATAATTTGTTAAATTTTATTTGAATGAGATGCTAAAATAAACACCATAACAATTTTTGAAGTGTTTTTGTGACCTCTAATATATACTTATATATAAAGAACATATATTAGTTTATAACTATCGTTCATCTTTACTTTTTTTTTTAAAAATATTTTTAAATATTTAAATAATAAAAAATAGCATTGAAATTTATTTCTATTCTTACAAGTATATATTAAGAACATATATTAGTTTATAACTATCGTTCATCTTTACTTTTTTTTTTTAAAGAAAATATTTTTAAATATTTAAATAATAAAAAATAACATTGAAATTTATTTCTATTCTTACCATTCAAACAAGTTAACTATCGATTAACTACTTAAATTATCAAATTATTAACTACGTATTTTATTACTTAATTTTAATTTTAATTTTATTTTATAATTTAAAATAAAATATAAAAACATAAAGTAGATTTATCACACAAATAACTTATAACATTGATCAATCATATATATTATATGATCCAATTTTAAAGTTTTTACACTTTTGAAATGAGAATTGTTCTCTTGTACATAATTAATAGAAAAACTACAAAATAAAAAAATGCCCATAATTTTTTTTAAATATGATATCACATCAAATAATGAATTTAACTTGACTTTCTTTATTAACTTCTTTATAGAAATCGATGAAAATACTTAATAAAATATATATTAAATATTTTTATTCAATTAAATATAAGTATTAAATACTTAAATATTTAATACATTTTAAAAATAAGTATTAAATACTTAAATATTTAATAAACTGTGTATTAAATATTTCATTCATTTAAAAATAATCATTAAAACATAAATATTAAATTATTTATTAAATAAATAAAAATATTTAATATATATTGTATTAAATATTTTTTCATGACTTTCCCTAAAGCAATTAATAGAAAAGAAAATAAGTACTACATTTAATACAATAAAAGAATAACTTTTAAACAATTTTATATTTTTAAAGTAATAAATACTATATTTTTTATTTAATATTTATATTTATACTTACCTCACTGGTATATCTTGGTTTAACTTCCTCTATTTAATATTAATTTGAAACTGTTACATTTTTAAAAAACTTAAATGTGTTTGCATTAGATCAAAGAACGATTTAGAATCTCTTAAAGATTATGTTTTAATGCTAATCAACATGAATGTTTTTGTAAAAGCATAAAATGATCTTAAAAAACAGTAATCATAGGAGATGATACTAAAAGTAAAAAATGCATAATAACTTTTTAAACTAAATATTTTGTTTATATAAGATAAATACTTAAATATCACACTAATGTTTTTATCATATGTTTTAATGTTATTCGTTGATGGATCCAAAGAATAAAGTTTCTTTGACGTTTATAACATATAAAGAAATGATGATTTATTTTTTTTGTTAAAAAAAAGATAAACAAATATCTCAAAGTATATAAAGTCAGTTAATTAAAAGTCATTTTTGACTAGCACAAACAACAACTTCTTTCCTTTTGTACTAAAAAAGTTATAAGTAACATCTTTAATCAGATTAAAAGTGACTATTTAGTAAAACACTTAATGCAAACATTATTGCATCAACGAACACCTAATTCTACAAGAAATTAAGCAAGATGAAGCAAGTTAATGAATACTAATCAAGAATTTGCAATGATCATCTTAAAAACTCAGCCACATATAAGAGTTTGAGTTTCACACACAAAGATTCTTTCATTCAATTTATTCTTCATAATTCTGTAAATTTGTGTACTTAAAAGTTTAATCTTAGAAAATAAAACATATACATATACAAATAAAAATATTAAAGTAATATTATATGGGTTAATTTTTTTCATCATATAAAATAGACTTACTTTATACTCTTAAGTTGTTTTAAAAAAAAACTATAGACTCTTAAGTGCGTAAACTAAAATTTATATCCTACTAATGAAATAAATCAAAGACACAATGAAATTTAAATTTAAAGTT